ATGGCCGATAGACACACTACATATGGCCGATAGACACACTACATATGGCCAATAGACACATGGCCGATAGGCACATGGCCGATAAACACTTTGACATGTGGCCGATAGACACACTACATATGTCCGATAGACAAACTACATATGGCCGATAAACACACTACATATGGCCGATAGACACAGTAAGACTAGGCCGATAGACCCAGTAAGACTAGGCCTATAGAAACACAACCTAAACTCCAGGACTAGACCGACATCCATCACTAGGCCTACAAACACACCAAGACAAAATCTAAAGACACGATCAATTTAATATTTTCTTATACTTTAATTCTCTCCCGTCCACCCATTCTTTTCCAATCTCTCTAATTCACTTCCATTCTCCCCCCCCCCTCCCCCTCCCCCAACCTCCCCCCATCACACATCAGCCGTAAAGTCCAGCACGGAAGTGTCCAAATCTACAAGCTAGTCAGCCAGAACGAGTTCAGTCTGACCGTCAAAATCGACGCTACCAACGGGCAGATTAGTGAAACCTTCCAGGCCGTGCCGGTCAGTGGCTGGGGGCCGGCGCTACATGGTCGTCATGGGCAGGTAGGTCACGTGAACAACGTGAGCAGGTGGGTCAAGGTCATCATCATGAGCAGGTGGGTCATTGTCGTCATCAGGTGCAGGTGAGTCACGTGGTCCTAATGAGCAGGTACGTTGATATGCCTTTTCCACAGGAGTGGTCTAGCGGTAGAGAGCTGGACCGCTAACCCGTAAGTTTTGAGTTCGAATCCGGGTTCAAGTCAGTAGACCGTCCCTGAGTCCACCCAACTTTTATGGGTACCTAACTCACGTTACGGAGAGTAAAGGCGGCTGGGTATAGTGCTGACCACACTATCTCTTCATATGCCGAGGTTACAGAAACAAGCGAACTCTACTTCACTTGCCCTATAGACCGTCAGGTTTGAAAGGGAAACTTTTACAGAAGCACGGTTGACGTTAATCCACTAAGGCACAGTTACTACTAATCCATCGGGGCACAGCTAATCTTAATCCACAGGAGTACAGCTACGGTAATCCTAATCCACAGAGGCTCGGCCACCATAATCCTAATCCACAGACCACAGCTACGATAATCCTAATCCACAGAGGCTCGGCCACCATAATCCTAATCCACAGAGGCTCGGCCACCATAATCCTAATCCACAGACCACAGCTACGATAATCCTAATCCACAGAGGCTCGGCCACCATAATCCTAATCCACAGACCACAGCTACGATAATCCTAATCCACAGAGGCTCGGCCACCATAATCCTAATCCACAGAGGCTCGGCCACCATAATCCTAATCCACAGAGGCTCGCCACCATAATCCTAATCCACAGAGGCTCGGCCACCATAATCCTAATCCACAGAGGCTCGGCCACCATAATCCTAATCCACAGACCACAGCTACGATAATCCTAATCCACAGAGGCTCGGCCACCATAATCCTAATCCACAGAGGCTCGGCCACCATAATCCTAATCCACAGACCACAGCTACGATAATCCTAATCCACAGAGGCTCGGCCACCATACAGATAATGACGGCCGAGCTGGGATCCTACATGGAGGTACAGCTGAAGGTCCAGCCCAACAGCTACACGCTACTGCACAACTTGCAGTTTGTGGGGAACGGCGGCATGGTTTTCTGTGGATATGAACGCGTGAGTGTCCTGTTGTTTGCAAATCAATGTATACTCTCTAGTAGCTGTTGAAGACCTTGCTACCGGGGACATTATGACCACGGAGAAAGTGGGGGCTGTGCTGTAACTTTTTGAACCGTGTTTAGTTCCTAAAAGATTTGATTTTGAATTTTTTATTCTGTTTTTTGTTCTGTGGCTGTTTTGTGACGTTTTGTGTCACTTATTTTTTGTGACTTTTTTCTGTGACTTTTTTCTGTGACTTTTTTCCTGTGACATTTTATTTTTCTGTGATTTTTCTTTCTGTCACTTTTTTCTGTCACTTTTTCTATGACATTCTCAACACTTTTTGTTCTTTGAAGCTTTTTCTAGCAATTTTTTCACGTTTTTTTTTTTAAATTTAACGTTTTTTATGTCTTATTTTTGTTTGACGTTTACCCCAATATTTTCTCCGTGACTTTTGAACTATTTGTAGAAACGTATTTATACACATTCTATTAAAAGACTCATTTAGTTTATTCTGTATGCCATGATGTCTAGATTAGCAGGCAAGGCGAGTTTTATCCACATTACGTTTTTGGTTAACTTTTACCCCTCCCCCACCCCAGCTTATCGTAACATGTCACCACAGCCTTCACCCTAAAACGAAATCACACTTTAGCCCACCCCACCCTGAGGACGTCGTGGTCGGATCGTAGAGCTTACGACTGCTAACCTCATAGTATCGAGTTCGGATTCCGGGCTTGAGTGTGTGGGATGTCACTGAGTCGACTCAGCTCTGATGGGTACCTGACCCATGTAAATAAAACAAAAGACGTAAGGCAAGTGTTTGAACACACTATCTTTCGTACGCCGAGGTCATTGAAATACATAAATTCTACTTCACCTGCCCCGTGTGATAACGGCAGGAACCGATAAAATATAGGGATGATGATTTGACTTACGGGTAAGCGAAGATTGCTCTACCGCTAGACCACCCCGGCTCTGTCCACCTAATGACCTAATGACCTACTGATCTAACGACCTAATGACCTAATGACCTACTGACCAACTATGTTTTCACTGCGTCAACAGCTGGAGCGGCTACTCTATCTCACCGTGTCCAGCAGATACAGCTACTGAGCTGGTCAACCTATCAGGTCAGTTCTCTATTCAGTCCCTTTTAAGTCCCTTTTCAATCCCTTAGGTCAGTCCTTTTTCAGTCCCCCAGGTGTTTATTTTCAATCCCCAGGTCAGTCCTTTTTCAATCCCTTCGGTCAGTCCCTTTTCAATCCCCAGGTCAGCCCTTTTTCAATCCCTTAGGTCAGCCCTTTTTCAATCCCTTAGGTCAGTCCTTTTTCAATCTCTAAGGTCAGTTCTTTTTTCAATCCCTTAGGTTAGTCCTTGTTCAATCCCTTAGGTCAGTCCCTTTTGAATCCATTTAGAATATTCATTTCCTTGGAAAAACCATTCAGGGGAGGAAGGGGGGGGGTGGGTGGGCCGCAGAGCGTACTTCAGCTTCCTATAAATAAATGTGGTTAGGTTGATGGCTATGGCTAGGGTTACAGTTAATCACCACTCATGTCATCTCTACAACCATCACACATGTCATCTCCCCAGGTACAACCATCACACATGTCATCTCTACAACCACCACACATGTCATCTCCCCAGGTACCACCATCACACATGTCATCTCTACAACCATCACACATGTCATCTCTACTACCGTAACACATGTCATCTCTACAACCATCACACATGTCATCTCTACAACTATCACACATGTCATCTTTACCATCATCACACATGTCATCTCTACAACCATCACACATGTCATCTCCCCAGGTACAACCATCACACATATCATCTCTACAACCATCACACATGTCATCTATACAACCATCACACATGTCATCTTTACCATCATCACACATGTCATCTCTACAACCATCACACATGTCATCTCTACAACCATCACACATGTCATCTCTACAACCATCACACATGTCATCTCTACAACCATCACACATGTCATCTCTACAACCATCACACATGTCATCTCTACAACCATCACACATGTCATCTTTACAACCATCACACATGTCATCTCCTCAGGTACCACCATCACACATGTCATCTCTACAACCATCCCACATGTCATCTCCCCAGGTACCACCATCACATCCTATGCATTTATCGGGGTAATCTCCGGTAACTGCGGTACAGTGACACCTTCCCTAAGGTGTTTGGGTGCCACGGGGCTGACACGAACACCTGCATTCGGTGAGGACACATGTCATCTGTTAGTAAAATGTCATGTGTCATGTAAGTACGTATGACATGTGTCATGTATTGCAAATGTCACAGGACGTGTACTAGTACCAGGATGCTGTGTGAGTAGAAATTTCATGTGTTGTCTAAGTATATGACAAGTGTCATGTAATCCCAAATGTCAGCTTATCTGCAAAGACATGACAGGTGTTGTTATACGGCCTGTGAGATTTCTAGAAGTTGTAAAATAGTTTGATGGATAGGATCTAAGGGGATACTCAACAAAATATATGGGACGAGCCGACCCGCGGCACATCATACGCTGCTATTTAGTTGTTTTATTGTCTACTTTTCAGTAATTCATAATTTGTGAATTCGACAGTACCAACGCTGCCACTGAAAATATTTGCTTTAAAACACTATAAGTAGCTCGTTAAGGGACGATACCCCCCCACCCCATTCCTCCCCCCCCCCCCCCCCCCATTCCTTCCCCCCCCGCTCCCCTCCTTATCGTTAAAGTAAGCTCCTCTTAGTTTCCCCTACCCCCTACGTTTAAAATCGTTTCAACCTAAATTATCTGCCCCTAATAGCCGTCACTAAACCCGGCTCTGCTTGTAAACATTTTAGCGTGAACCACAGCTCACCAGACCATGTAGGAGTGGGGTGGTAGGGAGCGCGCTTACAGCTTGTTTTCTATCGTCTCCAGGAAGAGAATTATATATATAGATTTTGGCAATGGGAAAGGGGGTTAATGAACCCAAAATTGTGTTACATTACAAAAGCATGATCATTGTTAGTACGGGTCATTCAAAGTTTCGGCTAGAATAGTCTAGAGCACAGGAGATTGTGTATTGTGAGTTGTGTTCACCCCGGTGTGTTTATTTTTATCCCAAGGTTGATTGCTGGTACAGAGGCGTAGCGAGGGGGGGGGGGGGCGGGGGGGGGGGGACATATGTCCCCGGGCGCCGACCTGAGGGGGGGCGCCAAATTGAAAGTTTGAGGGGGGGGGGGGTGCAAATGAAAAGTTCGAGGGGGGGTGCAAATCGAAAGTTTGAGGGGGGGGGGGTGCAAATGAAAAGT